TGTATGTATAAAAAAATAATTTATATTTATCTTTATGACAATAATAAAATTATTTTTAATATTATATAGAAAAATAAAATTATTTATCAACTAATATATTTATATTTCAAGTAGTTATATGATATTAAGTTATAAAAACTAATATAATATAACACATGTAAGTCATAAGTAACACATATCATTCTAAAATATATAGTAATATATTTTTTTTTTTGGTAAAAAAGTAAACTAAATTTAATATAGTTTTCTCATTAATTTTAAAATTTAAGAATATTTTTTTAACAAGCACCCGTGTAATACACGGGTGTTGTACTAGTTTAATTTAATGCAAAAGTATGAATTGTGACTGGAGTCATAGATAATTAAAATTATGGGAGTAGATGTTTTAATAATCGAATCATATTATTTATATAAATAAATATCATATTTTTGTTTATGCATTTTTAAATTGTAATTTTGTAATGAAAGTATAGATACTTACAAAAATAATATGTCGATCTAATAAGTAGATCAATCTAACACAAGATCAAACATTATAGTTATGGGGTATGTAAATTAAAAAAATAGCTAGGATAAAATGTGAGTATTAAGAGTAGGCTAAAATTTTATAATATATTCCGATATAATACTTATATATTGCATATAGATAGTTACAAAATGAGAATATTTGGGGGAATTGAAGCACACCTCTATTCCCCAATTAAGTAGAGCTATTATACAGTTCAATTCGATAAATTGGCTCTTGAAAATTTATGTTCAAATCATTTAAGTGATTGGAATAACTATTAAGCTTATTTATCAAATGAGCCCAAGATGAATTCATTCACGAATAACTCATTTATTTATATTATTATTATTTTTTTATAGATTCGAAACATCACTAGTAGAGAAAATATTTTTCACATCAGGTGTTTACTGTTGGAAACAATAAATTGTAAAAGACGGATTAAGAACAAGTTTCAACACATATACGTATTTAGAATTTGAAAACGCAAACCACAAACATCAACCACGGGAACGTGAGATGAAACCAGATTTCTATTAGTAAATAAATAAGTTTATTATAAAATAATAACTTAACTTACAGTTCTATATTATCATAGAACACGAATAGCCGAATCACAGAAAATTTGTTTGCCTTGTAGAAACAGACGCCCCGATACTGTGCAACGAGTACTACGCCTTTTTTCCCAGGATAAGACGGCTCAAAGTGTGAAGACTGCACTATCTTACACACTCACCTCGATCAGAAGATCAGTCGCCAAGAAATCCCTTAATTATTCTTAGACTTGTACAGGATGAAAGAGGCTATGTATAACGTGATCCTTTTCTTTTCTTCTCAAGGTATATCCTTCCCATTAGCATGCATGCACTATTTATAGTGCTCGTGAGCTAGCTTCCATTCAATGAAGAGGTGTTCCATTAATGCCTTCATTAATGCAAAAATAATGAAACTATTAATGAAACTTTGAGTTTCATTCTTTCATCTCAAAATTGAACACGTTAAGCCTTTCTCAAATTGAATTTGAACATTACATTTGTAACATTAAACACATCCTTTTTATCAAAGGATTCCCACAACATAATTACTCTTTCTACATGTAAGTCTTATTACAACATTTACATCACCGATGTGAACAATTTGGTAGGCAACATTGTTGACATCGATTCTATGTACAACCGATGTTGAAAATATAATATACAACATTGGGTTAGGAAAACCGATGTATGAGAATAGTAGAAGATCAATTTTTCCATCCGCGAACATGTTAAATTCGATTATATGCAAAATAATCGAATTTAACATGTTCGCGAATGCAAAAAATCGTATCTCGAACAACTCATTTGCAATTTTGAGTATGTTGAACGAGTCGCGCTCGTAATTAACTGTTGGCTCGTTCATTAAACAAGTCGAGCCTAATCGGCTCGTTTAGTAAATGAACACACTGCGCGCGACACAACTCTGTTTGATACTCTTTGTTTTAATGTTCATATACTTTCATTAGAAAAAAGAATCACATACTTTACTAATGTAATATACTTACAACATTTTATTATATAAATAATTATGTAGTTTTGTTTACACAATATATAGATCGATCTTCTTAACAGTTAGACCGCTTCACATAAATAAATATTTATTTTTAAATTATTATTTTTTCTATATTAGCTACAAGATAAGGTAATCAAATAATCTTTAATTTACAGATGAATGGTATCATCCCACTTAATTATTATGATTAATAAATTTTAAATTATAATGTGAAAGAACTATGTAGCCACGTGCATAGTCCTGTGAATTATCGCGTTGGAAATTGGAACAATTGGGGTTTCTCACTTCGAATATTTGGGGTTGATTGAAGTATTTTTCAAGTTTTTAGACGAGTGTTCTGTTGGATATTTGGTGTCAAAATTACACGAGAATCCTACGAACTGATATGTAATTTTTCAGTTCTTACAAATAATCTAAAAATAGAAAATTACAATTAAACTGAAAAATAAATTACAACTGAAAAAACGGAAAGATTTTAGCCGAGGCGAGTAAAACTCTTTCCGCAAGAAGAATACG